GGATATTGGGTCTCTTTCAGTCTTTCACAAGATTGTAACCAATAATTCACATCCACTCTATAAGTTTTTACATGGTTTTTATCAACCTTCAAGAGTTAGTAGAAGTTCTGTGACCCTCAATTCAATGACATTTGATGCAAGTTGATCATCTGCTTCTCAGTTCTCTAGATGCTTTTTTACTGCTATTTGTAGGCTTTGCAATAGATTGCTTTCAGAGATTGTAACTTCTCCAATTCATTATAAGATTAACCCTTTGCCGCTGGGTGGCATGTACTGTATGTATATGCCATGGCATACTTGGACTATATTCTGGGTGGCATATGCATGTGCATACCATAATTATAATGATAATATTAATACTACTAATAGTAATAGATGAGAATACAGTACAGTGAAGTCTTCAAACTTTACACATGTTGATCATGATCAAATTGACTCAATGGATCTGGTTACTTCACAACAATCACATGGCCCAAAATACAGGCAATAGGCCTACATGAATGTCTGCTCTGACAGGTGCATGGCTTGTAGGCTGGATGTACACAGACAGTCATGTTTATGCCTCCTCTTTGCAATATTATGTTTTCTTCTAATGCCTAGGCATTTTCTGCTTTTTTGCCATTCTTCACTGTCCATATTTTTTAACACCAAAAGAGTCTAATCACCCTCCAAGAGGATTGTGTGCTTATGGCGAGTCTTTCCTGTCACCACAGACTCCAGTCAAAATGCTCACAACAGAAAGTTCACACTACCCTGGCCCACAGGCAGTTTTTCCCATGTTATTTGCCCCACAAGCCAATTTTTTTTCATAACATGATGGTCACATCATACGGATCGTAGGGGTTAAGCCTTATTTACAAATGTCCTGGCTATTGTCCAACCATGGTTTTAATATTTTTATAGATCACATAAGTGATATCTTTTATTTTCAGTTTGCAACATATATATTGCATAACAAAATAACAGAAAATTCATAGACAGCTTAATTCCTTGTCCTGTTAACCTTTTTGTATGTGGAGAAAAAAAAATGTAAATATATCATTAATTTATTATTATTCCTCTCCTATCACAATCAGACATTGATGTAGTTTGTAACTGTATCTGATACTCGTGCCAGTGACTAGGTATGTGAAGAAATTTTTACTAGTGTGTTTTTCACTTGCATTATTTTCAGGCTGTAGAACTCTGTGAGACTCTGGTTGGCGCAGGTGTTCATCTTGCTGGTCTTGGAGCACGAGATTCCCTAAGGCTGGAAGCTGGACTCTGCCTCTATGGAAATGATATTGATGATGACACCACGCCCATTGAGGCGGGCTTGGCTTGGACCATTGGGAAGAGACGTAGACAGACTGCTGATTTCTTAGGAGCTGAGGTGATGGGGATGCCTAGTTAATCTCATGCAGAGGCATATATAGAGAATATATATGCAGACTTGAATATATTTGACATGTGCACTTGTACCCTCACACATACATACACATGCACAGATTTCTAGAATAATACAAATGACATAGTATAGATAATATAAATGAAATAATTCAAAGATTTGATACAATAATAAAATCTAGGATTCTAATAGATTAGAGAATAATGATGATTTCCTTGTACAGATCATACTGAAACAGCTAAAAGAGAAGCCAAAACGCAGACGTGTGGGTCTAGTGTGTAGCGGACCCCCACCCAGGGCACACTGTCCAGTTCTTGATGCTGATGGTAGCCAAGTTGGCGAGGTGAGAAAGAATATTGTTGTATTATTGACTTTAACTTACAAGAATTTGGATATTTAAGGTTTCCCTTTGTTGCAGACTTTTTCAGGATTGAGTAAAATTAGATGTCAGGACAAGCAGAGCCATCTATGGACAGAGATATTTCACAAAAATATAAAAAATAAGTACTGCATTTCCCCCATTTTTTGTTCATTTTCCCCGGCGGCAATGGGTAAAACATGTCAATATAAGTATTTAAATGAATGAGTAAATGTACTTTATTCATTCATGACATTCAGCATGCAGCAATATAGGAAAAATATTTATATATATATATATATATTTTTTTTTTCCAGGTTACAAGTGGTTGTCCAGCCCCATCATTAGGAAAGAATGTGGCCATGGCTTATGTTCCAGCTGCTTTGGCAAAAGCAGGCACAGAGTTGTTTGTTCAAGTGCGAAAAAAGTCCATCCCTGCTAAAGTATCAAAGATGCCTTTTGTCACCTGCCATTATCATACCAAGAAGTAGAAGCATGCACAAATTGAAAAAGGTGTTTTAAAAGATTTTTGAAAAATCTTCCTTTTTAAATTTCTTGCTAAATGTGAATGTGTGTATATTTGTTGCTAATATTTACTTTTCTTCTTTTTTCTCCTCTTTCATTCTAAAGGAATACTGAGATTTACGTATGATTATGGATATTACTGAGTTATTGATAGTGAAGAATTTAGTAATGGTGCTGCTTATAAAATAACAATATAGTGAAGGTTAGTTAAGATAAAAAATATTTTTTAAGATCAACTTTTTTTTTTTTTTCTCCCAAGGAAATTTTTATACATGCCTAATATAGTGGACTTATATTTCAGTGCTAGCACACTTTTATGCGAGTGATATTTCGTATTGGGAAAATATAAGGTTATTCAGAATTGATAAATGAATAATGACATTAAATTGAAGTAGATACAAGATTACAATGAAAATGACAATATATATATATATATATATATATATATATATATATATATATATATATATATATATATATATATATATATATATATATATATATATATATATATTTGATCACTGATAATTTTAATAGGTAGCTTTACTTCTAGTTAAACTCACTCATGCCTTCATGCATCTGGAAGCAAAATGCTCACGTACACAAAGGCATATGTACAGCATTTAAGTAAGAATTGCTGTAAAATGGCTTCAGATATAGTTTTATACAATATTATAGAAACAATGCAAGTACTTTATTATACATATCTTAAAGTTCCTGTCTTTATGTCTTCTGTCTTACCAGACTTTACAAAGTGTGTGAAGCTTTTAAAGAACAGAAAATGAAAAGATGCATATACACTGTTCTTCCTTTTAGGAAATTGGAAGTAATTTGATATAGTATAGAAAATAATTTGAAAATACGGATAGTTCTATCACTATTTGATAAGCTATTTACTGTCACCTTTTACCATGAGGCAGTCAAACAAGTCCTGTCTTCAAGGAAATAGAAAGCATACTCCTACATACATGGAGACATGCAAAATCCACTTTCATAGAGGCTGTTATTTTAAAATGATTGATGAAATAAGTCTCAGTAATCAGTTCAAAAATTTCTCAAGAAAACTGCCAATATGTGCATTATCAAAACTCCCAACAAATGTGGAATTAAGAGGGTTTCAGATAAAAGCATACATATTCTCCTGTAATTTTTCCTTACATTAGTGGAGCAGTCCATAATAGGGATCCAAGTGGATTTCATAACAAGGGCATATCCAGATTCTGCAGTATTTTCCTTTAAGGTAGATGGTTTGTGGAAATCCATCAGTGACATAACCGGTTTCATTTAAAAACTTAGAATATTGATAGACAGTACACAAATAAAACAAGTTTGAAATATCACTACTGCAGTCTTGCCGACCATTTTTCACCCTAATTACCTGTTGTAGTCCCACCTGAAAAGACCTGCATTTCTATTGCGACTCATTTTGTGGTGAATGGTCACATATTTTCCATTAGATGATACCCAATGGAATAACTGCTCAAAATAATAGGTTTATAGCTTAGAAACACAAATGTAAATGCAATAGTGTTGAAAAAAGAGTCATTAGGTTGTAGATGATAACTTTGAAAAGTGGATAAATATCTATATTTTTGTGAATACATTTAGATTCTGATTTTATGTTGCCTTATGTTCATCCTTGAATTATTGTTAATGTTACCTTTTCACGAACACTTGGAGTCTTCTTGGTAAAGGGTATTGTGTATAAAAGTAAAGAGCCATGTTAGAACTGATTCTCAAAAACACATATATGTTGTTAACTAAAGAAAATAAAAGCTTTTATCTTGGTGACAAAGTGTTCTTTAATAGGACAATATGTTTATTTTCTATTTTATCTGTGTTTTCTCTAGCCGATCAGGCCATTGGAAGCTAATCGTAAAAGAATACTCTGTTTTCCTCTTGCATATTTTCTATTCAATTTTCCATTTGTGGAATGAGGATGCTGATTACTACATACCTTTACTTAAGTGCAATATGTATACATGTTTTGTACAGGTATTGTTGTTATTTTTAGTTATGTTGATAACAAATGAATGTATTTTTCCTTATTGGAAAGAAAGACTTGGATTGTTGTTTCTTCTTTTTCTTTTTCTTAATTGTTCATGGTGCTAATTTTCAGTTGTTTGTCTTTTGTTAATGCTGTAATTTTTTGTTGAGGTGCTATTTACTTTGCACCTTTTTTACCCTCTTGATGGTTTTTATTTTGTTTTTATACTGTGAAATGTTAATTGGAATTTCACAAAATTAATTATTCCATAGTTGTTTTATTGTTGACCTAAGCTAAATTGAATCCTAAGTGAACACAAAAATCTGGCATCAAAATATGATACAGTTTGACTGTGCATTGCATATTCAATTCATAGATAACTGTTGGGATCAATCAAAGTTGATCATACAAAACGCACTCTGAGTATCCTGTACTAGGATAGTCTCAGCCAGGGTACCTCGCACCAGGAAAGACTGAAACAGAGAAGTCAAAACTGGGACAGGCTGAAACACTGTATCATATGGGTATCAAGTACCAGGATAAACATGGATTATAATGTAACTTAAAATGCCAGATTGAAAAGAATGTAGCATAAACATAGTCACAGAATGCAAAACTGTGTAAATAATAATACTGCATAAAAATTATATGGGTGAACTTCATTACTTGGACTAATTTTCTGTGTATGTCTTGGTTCTGTATGCACATAAGTATCCTTATATGTATACTGAATTTACATGTTCATATATACACATAAATGTGTTTATATGAAGATAGAGTGTGTGTTCATATATGCATAAATATTTATAGTTACATAAACCCATCTAGATAATGCCTAGAGCATTTACATAATTCTTCACATTTCCACTTTCTTTTAGTAATTTCTGTAGATGAAGAAAATCTCAAGACTGCCTGAAAAATTTGCATTTTTTTTTATTGCAATGATCAAAGACAGCTGACTTTATTAGATATATAGTTACAAATGTAAAATTTGCCATTGTAATAAATGATGCTACATTTAGTTTATCAAAGCATTTGCTAGTAGAAAATGCCAAACATGGTAGCCAGACGTGGGAAAGACAGAGAAAGGGTATCTCATACTGGGATTAATTGCTGGGTGTCAAACATTTTGATTCAAATGCTGAAAAAAGTTGAATTCATTTATCAGAGCAAAACAATTTCATAATTAATAATGCTGCCTAATTGTTCTTGCACTTTATCTCAGATTGTAATCTGTTCCAATTATCACTAATATAAATTTTAATGTTATTGTATAATGCCACTCAAGGACAAAATATACTCCTTTGAATTTTACAAGTGCCTTATACATTACTCACAATTAAATCAATGTCTTATCACTGGATAGCTTTCTGAGAGAATAGGAGCAAAGGGATTGGAAGGTAGAGGAGCATTCTATTGAGTCATGTTAGGAAGTTTAGGATGTCCTAGAGTTTCTGGAAGAGATCTGAGAAACAAAGATTCTCTTATAAGGAGAAGAGGAGACAGATGTCCAAGGAGCAGAGGTAAGTGTAGGAGAGAATGTGGTAGATGGAGTGGAATATTATGACTGTCTGTGGCAACAGGTAAAGTGAAGAGGAAGGGTAGGCACCAAGTAGGTGGTCAAGATTGGAGTATCTTGATCTAAAAAAGAATTTGACTTGAAGTGAGAACTGGTAGAGGTAGGATGGTAAAGGATGAGGAGAAAAGATGGTGAGGGAGATACTGAGACATCTTGAGAAAGGAGACGACCAGAATGAAGGAGTGTCGTAATAGGAAAAGAAAAAAAATTTGTTTGCATGCTTCCTGTAAAATGAGGCCAAGTTTAAATTTGAGAACTGCTACCTTAGACTTGAACTTGTAGGTAGGGCAGCTCCTATAAAATATATTATGGGAGCCACCACAATTGGCATGTGTGTGATTGTGCAGAGCAATTTGAAGGTCATGACCAGGTTAGGCACATAGAGGGCAGTGGCCTGTGGAGTGAGTGTTTAACAAGGTGGCAAATATGCCTGCATTTCAGGCATTGACTGGGGAGAGGTCAATATGGTTGGACAGGTAGGACTCTGCCAATATGAACTTCATGGGGGAGGCAATTTCTACAGAAGCTAATCTCTGGGAAGAATAGTGTATCACTGTATTGATACTGCATCATAGTCAACAAGGCAGGCAAACAGGTTGTTGTTGTCGATGGGGCAATCTGCCAGGGAGATGAAAAAAGTTCCAGTACAGGTATTGAGGGAGGAGTAAGAATAGGTTTGTAAGATCAGTCAATGTAGATAATGCACAAGTTTGGGACTCAAACATAACTATTACAAGCTGTGAACAATCAGAATGGCTGCAGAAGAGGGTATTGTTAGGGTACAGGGCTGTAGGGGGAATCACAAAATCAAATCCTAGCTGGACTCAAGAGTACTCAAAAGTTTTGTAGAGGTGTAATTACTAGAAGGGCAAGGATGAGAGGAAGAGGGAATGGTGTGGAATGAAGTAGTAGTGGGGAGGACACTAAAGATGAAGGGTAGTAAAGATGGGGGGGGGGATAGAAAATGGAGAAGACTTACAGGAGGAGTTGGAGTGGAAGGAGGGATGTATTCTGAAGGTTGAGTAATAACTTGGGTGGATGATTCAAATGGATCAAGTAGATAGCAAGCATCGAGGAGAGGGTAGAAGTAGCAGTGATCAAAGATGAATCAGGGTTTGGGAAACCAGAGAAGTTAATTTCAGACAGGGACCAAATTTTAATTGGCCATAGTGAACCTGAAATAAGTGGGGGAAGAGAAAAGGTCTAATCCTCAGGGTCCCAATGACAGGTAAGAGCTAGATGATTACCCAAGGGAATACCGTGCCCATGGCTCCCTGAGGCTATTCAAGTTGAACACAAAACTAGCCTTTCATCCATTCAGCAGAGCTCTTACACCTAAGGAAGTGGACAGAAAGGACTGGAGAACAGAAGGGAGAGGAAAGGGCTAGAAGAAAGACTGCAAAATTGGTTGAGCTGAGTACTGAGGCCCAAGATAGTGGGGATCCCCAACATTGGAGTGGGGAGACACTAGTAGAAGGAATCAAACAACATTCAAGGGAAAAAAATACAAATAAGAAAACAAGAAGCCAGCCTACAGTAATACTAAAGAGTTAATTACATATCTTTCATGGTGAATTTTTTTTTTTCTGCATTAATCACTATGCATTATTTTCAAGTCTGGGGGATAACTAATGATACATGTATTCAAGAAGACATTTATTTTGTCATTTCTTTATAATGAAATTAACTAGAAGTGAGAAAGAACTGACCACAGATACAGTAAATACGAAAACACAATCAAATTTTTCACAAACATTAAACTGGTCTACTGTTACTTTTAGGAAATTTCAATATTTGTCTAATCAAATTATGTAATTTATCTATATTTATAGGTTATCATACCAAAAAAAGAAAAAGAAAAAAAGAAAATCAGTCTTTTTAACATTACAGATATGAATGAATATTCTTGCTTTCCATATGGAAATTATTATCTACATAAATGGCTGATTTGTACATTTCCACACAGTTTACAAATTCATAAAAATATGCATCAAAATACTTATGTTAAGAAAAAAATATGTATTATTTTCATCCTACATTTATTTATTTTTAAGACTTATGAAAAATAAAAGCCAAGAACATGCAAAGAAATAAAAGTACTTAATAACTGATAATTAGCAATTAATAATAATAATAATAATCATAACTATATATTTTTTTAATGATGATAATAACAAAAATAATGATAATAATAATAATAATAATCAAAATATTGATAATAATCATAACAACAACAATCAAAAATAATAAGATAAAATAATAATCATAATACCAATAAAAACAATGCTAAAATAAATTATGAAAATAACAATAATAATTTTTTTTTTTTTCAATGGATGAATATGAATTGTTAACATGGAAGAGACATTACTATAATTTTTTTACAACCATTTTGTTACTCAAAAACTTTGCTTCACATTTTTACACCTTGAGAATATCAAACATTCTTAAATTAAACACAAAAAAGACATATTGGAACATCAATACATATAAAATAAATACAAGTGGAAGAGTATTTACAGTCTGGAGATGCATTGCTCTTTGTAACTTTTCAGAAAAAGTTTTAATGCATAAGGCACAAAATGCTATATAATTAGAGTATAATCCTGTCATGTCTTTATCTCTCTTTAAAAAAGCAGAAAAAACAAGACACTACAAAGAAAACCTTGACATAATTTGTTTATATCATATAAAAAAGTTTACAAATAACATTTTTTTCAAAATATTCCTACTGATCAACTAATCACCACACATGGTATATACTAAATTAAGATCTATCACATTTGGCAGTGCTTAGTTTTACTGACTGGAATTAACTGTAAAATTTCACTACATACACAACATTCTCATTACTTATCTAATTGTCTATCTCTCACTACCTATTGTACTGGTATTATTAAAAAGAGAGAGAAAAATCTGATCTGTGTGCCAAGAGCATGAAATTGCTGTTCTTTGTTATTTTTGTCTTACTTTGTTTACCAAGCACATAACTTAGATGGATGCTTTCCTGATTATAAATCTTTACTTAATAGTAACATACTTTTTGTGCATACCTTTCTGTGCATACCTTTCTGACTGAAAAATACTGTCTCATGGGATACTCTATGACAGCTAACACTTCATCTTGTGAGATCATGAACATGAATATGTGTTCTAGGAGATTATAGTACAAAAAATGCTAAATATTCCTCAACCACCAGCCACTTCCATAAGATGGTGATGATCAAGAGCTGTGAGCAATTGAGCTGCAAATTAGTCATATTTCCATTACAAAGAGTGAAAAGAGTAAAGAGAGGAATGGATATTGGTGGAAGGGGTATAGCAGACAAGTAAAGAGTAAAAATGGGAAAAAACAAACAGGAAACAAAGAATGACTACACTGTAATATTAAGGGTTTTCACAGTGAACACATATCAACAAGCTGCTGCAACACTGGTACTAAACTTGCAAAGCCAGTTTTACAATTAATTAATGAAATGCACCTCTAGGTGCATACATACAATTTTAATTTACTACTGTGCATGGAACACAAGGTTTATCAAGTATCACAGGTGTAAATCTTAGCCCTTCTGTATCATTAATTTAACCCTTTGCATGGGGGGTACAAGTACTGTTCACTGTATTTTTTTGTGAATTTTGTTGAACACAGATGGCTCTACAACTGCTCAACAACTAAGGAGTCAATTAGTGGGCCTGACATCACCTCACCTGATTTCCCCATTCTTTGAATTTTTAGAATGTTTATTCTAATAATGACACTGTTTTTATCATCATCAATGTTATGATTATTAAATACTAACAGCAATAGAAAATTAAAATTATCTTTCCAAAATTCAAAGAAAAAGGCAAACGGGTGAGCTAAATACAACTGGACATTAACTCTTTGGTTACTAAGTACTTGTGGAGCCATCCATGTGTAAACACATTTATGAAACTTAAATCACAGTGGACATGGCATGTATGTACTAACCCATTTACCATACCCTGTCCTCTTTGTGAAGCCTTTTCTTATACCTTATTGTTCCAAATGAACACAAATTTCTTCACCTTACAGAGACTGGAAGTACATTTTGACATCGAGATAACTGACAATGGATAATGTATTCAATAAAACAGATTACATTACCATGACATTATGCAGACAAAATCTCATCTCATTATATAAAACTGCAAATGCATCTTCTGTTTTACATCTTTTTGACAGCAGTAACTGTACACATTAAAAAAATAGGAAATACAAGTACACATAAACCTTAAGCTTTATACAGTAAACTGTTTTTTAAGGAAATTACTTTTCTAAACTCTATTGTTACTGCTCACAGCATTAATACACTCACTTTCAAAAGTTCATCTTGAATGCTAACTAGAAAGGCATATATCTATCTGCTATCTTATTTGTTTAAGTACAGCTCTTAAAACACTCAAACTCAACAGAGAAAAACAAATCCATCAATCTAAAAGACAGAAAAAAAAAAAAATTGTTTAGCCACTAAGAACAAATTGATCTAATCATCACAGGATCACTTTGGTGAAGATCTGTAAGTCGGAGAATCCTCATAAGCCCCTCGTCTGAAAGGAGGAGCTCCATATATTGGCTCGTTGTTCACACTCCACAAAGTAATCCTCTGTGGTGAAGGGGAGTAATCCAACCGCTTTGCTAAGGAGTCCATGCCTCCACTCGCTCCACTGCTTCCACTCCCCGAAGGCGAAGGGCGATCTTGATGTGAGACAATTGTTAAAAAGGTTATAGATTGGCATGGATATTTCTACTGCATATCTATTTCTGGCATAGTCACAAATATAAACAAGTTATTAAGCAAGGATAAAGACTAGATGTAAACTGAGAAAATATGTATTTAATTAGTTAGAAGTGTCGATATTCCTTACTTGGAGAAAATGCTGTCATAGCAGGTCCTGGCATAGGTGAATTTGCAAACACACCTGTTTGCTGAGTCTGTTTATACCCAGGACCAAACAAGGCATGATAACCTGGGAAATAAAAATGAAAAATAAAATACTTCCATTATTCTGTAACCTCAGTAATATACATTTTTTCATCACTTGAGATCCATCTTTTTAATCATCATCATGCAAACATTATAATAGTCTCTATTTCAAATATATATATTTTCTACTTTTTTTAACACTCATTTCTTCATAACTTTTACCTTATAGTTACTACAGAAAATTCAACAAGTATTAGGATAAAAATAAATTTTACAGGTATGCTTATTCATTCCATTAAAAATAGTAAATTTCCAGAAAAAAACCCTACTTGTTGCTAATCATTGAGATGGTTTCTATTGCTTCTTTTGGACAATTTTCTATCAACTGACAAAATGAAATTTCATTCAACTGAGACACTAATCAGACACAAATGAGATTAACCATACAGCAATCACAAATTAACCCACTCATGATAGGAATCCCTTGCACCATACTGAGCCAGGTACCATTGCTGACAGCAATGACAAATATATGTTTGCCTTGCTCTCTTCACTTCCTGATGCAGTATACATATTCTTAAAAGAAATGAGGCTAAACAGAGACTTAAGCCTATATTTGAAGACCTGTATCTCTTTAATGGCTGCTGTCAGGAGCAAATAAGTGAACAACTGTTTAGCATGCACAGATCTGAGCAGGCTCAACAATGCAAGGTGTGGGTGCTTACCATTCAGAAATGACCCAGTTTACTATGACAAGATTTGAACTCAAAGATACTAGGGATGACAAAAATGAAAATAAGAATAACTATTTTCAAATACAATCTATCTGCTATTTATTTTACTCTTTGCACTCCAAGAAAAAAAATAAAAGCTGAAAACAGAAAACAATAAATCATATGATAAAAAATATTTTAGTACATTAATAAGAAGTGCTACTAATACCCACTTATGACTATGCAGGCAATTGTAAGAACCAGACAGGCAATGCTGATGAGGAGCCTGTCGTATGTAGTTAGGAACGTCACCAACAGGTTGATGATGCCTAGGTCTCTTGGTGATGCGCAGTAACCATCCCCAACCTGTTCTACCTTCACTGAAACCTTAAATAGAAAACATAATCATTAATACTTTTCATCTTTGGTCCCCTTTTCCTTGTAGATTACAATTCAGAGATTACCAAACACCTTACAATTCTAATTACTGAAATACTGTATGACCAAGATGTATCTAATGTGTTAAACCTTTAAGCATATAAAATCACAAACTTTAAGACCACACATTGGGCAGAGAATTTTTTTCTATATGGTGTTCACGAAGTAAGAATGTAAACCTTGTGTAAAAACTAATATTTAACTTCTTTTACAAAAGATTGTATAATGATCAATTATGGAGTCTACACAACAAATATATTACTGTTTTGACTTAACAGAAAATATGGCAAATATAGGTCTTAGAAAATAATAATACCAAAAAATACAAAATATTTCCTTAGTTACAAAAAAGGCAAGGAATGCTGGTAATGTAAGCGAGTAGTCACGCACACCCTGTGCTATGAATACCAAGGGGTTACACAGCTATTCCAAACTTCATTTATCCTTATAACACCTGAGTACTGTGCTGCAGTCTGGGATTCAATAAATGCCTGGGTTGCAAGGTCTCATCATCACTTACTCCAAAAAATTCATAGACATCAACAAACAAATACACACTATTCTAATACCAGAAATACTCACAGAATATACACACAAACACACTAACTTAGACTCAGATGCATTCTTTCTTTCCATGCATCACCTGTGACTGGACAGGCTCTAATAACACACAATTAACAATCCCAAATGACATATCTTCATAAATATGCTACCCAAGCACCTCAGAATCAGCACACAGATTCGCTTAGTTCTGACTACTTTCTTTCCCTCTTGCTCTTTTTTAATGTAAGTGTTATGCAACCACATATTGCCCTGGACATTAGAAACCAAGATTACAAACAAATAGAATATTTTACACCAAGTAACCACCATAAATGTGCTGATAATACTTATTTCTGAAAATAACAGACTTCATGAGCAAGTAATACTACAATAACAGCTTATCAAATCCCATACCTCAATTTTACTCCTGGTGTATGGTGAGGAAATTGCAACTGTGAGAGGTTCTTCAGGTACCTCAGACCACACTGAGTCTCTTAGGCTTAGCACCAGAGGTCGTTTGTTACTCTCTGCTGTACCTAGAGACAAATCTAATTGGCTGACATCACTTGTGATCTGAAGAGATAAAGATAACTATTATGTTAATCTGGTGATATAAAGACATATATACATTTTTAAACAAATATTTTAAATATATTAACTTCTTCATGTCAAAGAATACATTTAAAGAATAATAAGAATCATTTGACAAATTGATATCATTAATTAATTAATTTACTTTATCATAAAAACATTTTCTGATACTCTTTTCCCATGCAATTATTAAATATTATGCTATGAAATATATTTCTAACCAATTTATCAAAAATAATACAATATTCTCCTGGTTCTACTAAATTACAACAGTACTTACTTCTAGAGTACTAAGAACCTCAAATGTTCCCTGAATCTCAATAGATGTAGACGGTACTTCATTGGTAAGTGTAACTTCTGAGATTTCTGCAAATGGTGCTGGGTAGAATGGTATTGTTACCTGGCCTGACCTCACTTCACTTTGCTGCCCTCGACTGACCACTACAGCTTCCAGTATAACTGAAGCCTGTCCTTTAGCCAGAAGTGAAGAAGGGCTGCTCACAGAGCTAATTTCACAAGCATATCCTGCAAAGAATAATATGCTCTATAAATCAACTGGTTATGTTCGTCAATGTTAAAAGTAAAATATAAAATATTGTAAATAAATGCTTAAGGCCTTTGTTAACCTATCAACTGCCGGGTGAACAGAAATCCCTGAGCATGAAAAAACGGCCAGACACTGGGTGTGGGAGTCCACGATATCAAGTGGAACGACCCACTCCACGCGCTCCAGCACATTGCTGTGCGTACAAGCATACGCCACAGACCAAGCAGTTTGTTATGATAATACCAGTACACGTGACCCATCTGGGTCGGGTTAACCTTAACATAAAAATAACACTAGGGTAGTAGAAATGACTGTGTGCAGTGAATAACAAAAATTAATTAACCAAATAAGTCAATTTGTGATTTTTTTTTATACTTTTCTAGCTCTAATGACAATATCAAAATTCACTCTTACCTCTCTTGGCCATATAGACTGCACTAGCTTTCAGAACTTCCTTTGCATCAACCTGAGGAATGGGCGGAGAGAAGGCTACAATGCATGTGAAAGGTGGGCTGACAAGGAGTCCCTCTGCAGGCTTACACTGAGACTCCCCTGATGCACTTCCTTCTCCTCCCAGGGTCACCATTGCAAGATATGGCTCACTCTCTTCCCCTGTTGTTATGGCCTGGGTTGGAATGCTCAAGGAAATCTAAAACATAAAGGAATACATGTCACTAATTTATTTATTTATTTATTTATTTATTTACTTATTTATTATTATTATTATTATGAAAAAAAAAAAAAAAAAAAAAAAAAAAAAAAAAAAAAAAAAATATATATATATATATATATATATATATATATATATATATATATATATATATATATATATACATACACACACACACATATATATATACACATATACATATATATCTTTCAGTAACAGAATAATATACTTCAGAAATCAATATTTCATAACAAGAAACTGGAATATTACTAACCTTAGTAATTGGAGTGACACTGATTTCTGTAGCAGCTGTGAGAGAAGAGCTGACTTTGTAAGACACGACAGAGCGTCCAATCTGCTGTCCAAAAGCAATGCCACTGTCAGTGTCCAGCTGCAGAATATCCCCAGCTGATGACCATTCCCTTGGTGAGTCTGCCTCTCCATCTGGACTCCTTATGCTTGAGGACAAGCAAATGTGTCCACCAAGAGGTATCACAGTCTGTTAATAGCATAATGTTCTTTTGAGTTCTTTCATGAAGGATGGAAAAACAAACAAACAAACAAACAAACTTATACCTGATAACAAATACCTATTTCAACTAAAATCAGTTTCTTGGCTAAAAATGAAAATAAAATATTGAAAAGATTACTTTACAGCTCCATGAACAAAATTATGGAAAATCTAATTTCCACAATCAAGTCATAAATAAAACAACTACATCACCATTGCATACTCAATACTCAATTTTTTTTTTTAAATATAGTGTACTAAAGAATTGACAATAGTTAACTTTTTACAATTACGTAATGCATACTACTTGTATATAAATAAACACTTCATTACTAACCTTATGAGGAAATATGCCAGGCCCAGTGTTAATGCGAAGGAAACCACTAACAAGAGCATCATTCTCATTCCAGATATGAAGAACTGTTTGGCCTGTTCCTCTCACAGTCACCTGTAGGGTATTATTTGTTCCCCCACGTTTCACATCTACGAGATCAAATCTGGAGAAAAATATTTTGATTATCATCAAGGAAGAGGGTACATGATATACAGATTCACACTTGAGTAAATGGCAATAAATACATAAAGGCACAGTATTACACTTCAAACCAAGTATGCACAGCCTGACTTTACCTTGATGGTCTAAAAGTAGGGTGGGCATTTGTGGCATGAAAAATACGCCCACGGTTGTCATGGTATGTCAGATGAAGCATCATAGTCACACCAACTGGGACTACACTGAGGGATTCTCCAGGCAAAGTGCTCATAAACACCTCTACACCTGCTTGCAGGTAAGTCATTTTCTTCACCTTTAAATACAAAATAATAGGAATTAAACTTACAACAAATTACCCTTTAATTGAATAATTGATATACATCAGGGACAAAAGCACTTACTATAATCAAAGAGCAGATTAAAGAGTTACATGACAATTACTATATCAACTATTTTTGGGATTACAAATAATTATGCAATTTTTTTTCATTAAAGTACAAATTAACAAAAAAAATTATAACATGTTTTACCTCAACTAATATGGAAATACTTTGTGTGACTCCAAAGTTCTCCTCAACTGTAACAATCACTGTAGCCTGACCAGTTGTGCTGCCAGAATTAACAACACCATTGGGGCTTACAGTAATTACATCTGCTGCTTTTGCTGAATCTCTTTTACATCCTTCTACTGCATATGACAATTTTCCATTACCATCTCTGAAATTCATTAATTAAAAAGTTGTTAAATTTTGCAAAAAATGCCTAACTATACTACAACTACACTACTGTAACTAAAGCTGTCAAAGTAGATTTATAATAAGTTGTATCTTAACTCATTCCCTTCAGGTGACATGTATGCATGTCATGCTGAGAATGGCCGTCTCAACAGGGTACATGTATGCCTTGCCATCAATATCATACGCCAATCATAGTTTATACCCTTTCTACCAAACAAACTGCACCACAGTGGCCACAAAATATTCCACATATACAAATTTCTATCAAAGCCATAAACCAGGAAAATATGTAAATAAGTGGGCCATTTACCCTTGCATGAAGCACATTACCATATGTATGCACCCCAGTTAGTGCCTTTCAGCAGTTTAGGCAGCCTGGAAGTACTGGATTAAACCAATGTTTCCAGATAACATGTAGTTCATGTCATTGCTGAATTAGCTATGGCTACAGAGGAAGGGTCACTCACATAATGTTACTATAATGCTTGCATTACATTTTATGCAGTTCTTTATAAGGTACCCTCATGCCCACACACCATATGCCCTGGGGCATTGCCTGAGAGAGAATGGGATCTAATGCTCTGACTAACTTTTGTCTTGTATAAATGGAGCAATATTTAGCACATGAATTGTTTACCTGCTGTCCCTGGAAAATGGCACACACCAAAAGATTACTCTGTCCTGCTGCTGCTGTAAACCTATAAGTAACCTCCACTCTAGCTAATCAGTCTACTTGTGTCAATTACTCAGACTGTCATATGGTGCTCTGCCAGTGTGCCTCTTGATGTATAACACACAAAAGGGAAGTATGGAAACCAGTGAAGTAGTACTCTTGTATCCAAGATGTCATGAATGACCCTTCCTCCGTGGCCTTGGCCAAATCAGTCATGGCAGGGACAGAACATCACCCGTAGCCATGATCAAGTCAACCATAAGTTGAACTCTATGTCATCCAAAGGCAATGGGTTAAAATCCTTTCCTGTTTAAATTATGTTCAATACTTATATTTACATCATCACATCATAATATTACACACAACATAATTACCCCCAAACTAGGTACTAGGTACAATATGACCTTGTACATTAATATATATCATACCTAATTTGAATCCTAACACCTAAAAGCTTACAACAATATACCCAAACCCATTTCCAATCCATCACATAAAATCCAAAACATAAAATCACATCAGATAAGTCAATTCATATGAAAAGAGTAAAATTTAATTGATAAATGCTTACCTATTGGTCTTGATTTTGGTCTCTGCTTCAGGTGATAGTAACAAATTTGAGGATCCATCATCAGGATGCTTGAGTTTAAGGGACTCAAACACCTGCAAATATGTGGGAAAAGATTCAGGAGAGGAAATTAATTTACTGAGGAGAAAATATACAAACACACTTTATTCCCTTTTACAAAAGAAGCATAAGCCTTTTGTGATTAATCTTAAGGCAGAGTGTCATTTCTTGTAGGAGACCCTCTACATCACTATTACAACATAAAATTAATTCAATTTTAACCCTTTCATATGTAAGAATACATCAAGGATGCACGCAGAATTAGCTTGATGGAAAAATCAGAAGCACAGGGAATATAAAATTACCCTGTTATGTATGCCCTTGGTTACATCATAATTTTTTTTTTAGGTAATGAGGCTACAAAGAGGCTTTAGCGTACTTTTGAGGTGACTATTTCTCTTCAACCAATAGAGCCAGGTGCACAACTGTTCAGCATGCATAACTTAGAGCTGGCTTGACAGTGCATGACACAAGAGATTGTCTATCATGATGTGATGGGAAGTTATCTTTGTATGAATGGGTTAAAATTGAGAAATCACATTTTATCATTCAGGAAAGTATTCCTTGGGATTCTCTTAACTTACCTTAACCTCTAATTTATCTGTAAGGAGAGCATTATCTGTCAGCTGGAAGTTGGGGAAGCTAGATGGAATAACTGGTTTAACTTTCAGTGTAACTGTCACACGGCCAGCTTGCTCTGCACTTAGCTGAACGATACCATTATTCTCCTTGGATTCTATTATTCCATTCTGTAGAGAGAAAAATTGTTGTATGATGTAAAAAAAAATCAAGATGCAATGGCCAACTAACCCCTATGGTCCAGATGATGTGACCATCATGTCATGAAAAAAATTGGTTTTAGGAGTGGGTGACATGAACATGCTGTCATGGGAAATTTTGGCTGTGGGATGGGGTGACACAAACTTACCATTGTAAGAATGTCAGCTAAAGGACAGGGTAACAGAAAAGACTAGCCAGGAGATTACAAACCTCTTAGAGGATGATTAGTCACTTAGTATTTAGAAAGGGTCTTTTGCATTATTTCCATCAATAAAAGAGTGTGGAATATAATGTCCATAAGCCATCACTGGAAGAACACCAGCTCTAGGGAAAACACATTTCCATGCTCAGGATCTTATTCCTAGAAGCCATGACCAGCAGTGCAGGTTGAATTACAGAAAATTGAATATGGGGGGGGGGGGGGTTCTTATTGTTATTATTATTGCACTGAGTACCAAGAGAGATGGCATGCAGTCTGTGCTAAGGAAAAAGTCTATTGCCATCTGGATAAAGCAAATCAAATAATAAATATAGACATCAGAAAATGCATCAAAAGGGAAAATAGCATTGCAAAGTGAAGGCATGGAGTCTTATCAACACACAGAAGTGTTCCTTTGCACCTGGCCTACAAGCCACACACCCAACAGTGTCTGTTCACATAGGCTTAAGGCCTACATTTTGGGCCACGCGAAGCATCCGGATCCAATGGGTTAAAATATGTTTCATTACTTCAAAATAATTCTACTATCACTTCCATCAATAAGGAAAAAGCAAAAGAATACTTTTTTAACAAAAAAATGTCTTTCATTGTTTTACCTCCTTAAATATTCCATTAAAGGTGGCAACTTGCTTGTTGCTGACTGTCCACTCAAACAACAAAGGTGGTAGTGCTGTTGCATATGCTAGAGGGTTCTGGTCCTCTTCATTTCCAATGGCATAGAGAGGCATGGTTGTCCCTGTCTCCAGATGTGTTAACGGGGCATGAATGTGTATACTTGTCAGAGGCACAACATTTACTATCACTGTGTCCTGAAAATAAGATAAGTTTTTTTATGTGCTCAAATGAAGAAATAAAATACAAAGTCTTGTGTTATCTTCACAAATCATATCACTGAAAAAATCTTTGATGGGACAAAATACCTGTGAGTAAACAACAGTCCCTCCATTATCTTTGTTGATGCTAATAGCCTGAGCGGTAAGGATTGTAGTGCCGAGGGACAGAGCTGTGATAACACCTGTGTGTGATGTGTTGGCAATTGTCTCATTCAACATGGAATACACAACTGTGGCATCAGGATATGGTCCACCTTTTGTTTCAACCTGGTAAAAAATAATAATAAACCAAAATAATAAACCAGTTATTTCAAATCAAATAAATATATAGGAAAAGAGGAAGACTGAAAACAGTAAAAATACATTTTTATACATTGATCTGTTAACAAAAAATGTACAACAACAACTGTAATATCTTACTTGATAATTAGCACCAATAATGAGTGTGATATTCTTGGGCTGTAGAGTGAGGGGAGGGAAGACTTGCACAGGCTTGGACTGACTATGAATTACACTATCTCCCATGGGACCATTCCCTGCACTCGCCCTAAGAGTTGTATCACCTACATGCCGACCAACTACTTCATATATGGCATTGTCATTATTGTTGGTGCCTAAATATCTGAAATTCAAAATCAAATATTACTATAACAATATTGCATAATCTTTACCACAGGTTACAAATCTGAAAAAAATTAAATATATACATTTCTTACCAGAAAAACAGTACACTTTGATTAAAAGAAAAAAAAATCATTACATCAAACACAGCATTTATAGACAAACTTTTAGAGTACTTTCTTAACCCATTGCTGCCGGGGATGGCATGTGCATACATGCCATGCCCACTGTGAGTCGACTTGTTCGATTGTTTTTACACATAGATGGCTACACTTGTACTAAGTATCCAATGAGCCAATTACGAGTACTGCCTGTCTCGCCCGTTCACCCTTTTCATCGATTTCCGAAAATATTTAATGTTATCCTAATTTGCTGTTAAAAATAACACCATCTATATTTATAGCACTAGTAAGAATACGTTGTTTCCCGCCAATTCAAGGAAAGGTGAAATCAGGACTACCAGAGCCATCTATGGACAGACATATTTCACAAAAATATAAAAAATGAGTACTGTATTTTCCCCATTTTTTGTTCATTTTCCCCGGCGGCAATGGGTTAAATGCAAGAAGATATATACAACAAATAAGCTTCCAATCAGAGCCTTGTTACACCCAGATATAAGGAAACTTACTTGGTTGTAATAATATTAGCTTGAGGATTTAGGGTCAAGTCCATGAGAAAGTGTGCAGGCAGAGAGTTTCCACTTGCATCCCTTGCTATGACCTCAGCCTCCAATGTTCCTCCAAGTTCCACACGGTCAACCATCACCAAGTCAAGGGATACAATGCTAGCCACCTTAAAAGGAATTATAAATAAATAACCAAATTTAAACTCATATAATATATATAAAATAAATCTCCTAATTAACAGTTTTTGGATTTTCAAGTATCTTCAGACCATGGAGCTGTCTCTTGCCATGAACATTAACAGTACTTCAGCTGGCTACATTATTAGGGCTAAATTTATTTTTATTTACATCACAGCCACCTAAAACAACCTGATGATATTTTTGCATATCTTAGAAGAACATGACACTGAGCATTCTATTTCTCCTCTACTTTCAATTACTGAATAAAGTCTAGATACTTTATACAGTTTTAATCACTTAACTACAAGAAGAGACAGACTTTGCAAAACTAGGTAGAAATCTACCTGGACCAAAAACCTTTTCAAGCTGGTACTTTGATTCAAGATAAGAGGCTACCCAAAATCAATCCAATGACCAATATATTATTTTGCTTTTAATCAAAATATGAAATAGCAAAAAATGCTATTAAAAAGTCTAGAAAAATATAGCCATACTAGCAGTTACTGTAGAGGAAAATAGAGAAAATATAGCCATACAAGCAGCTAAGGATGAGGTAGATAGAGATACTGCAGTCTTTAGGGGTAAAACATTTCTATCATGTCCATTACTCACCTTAATTGTTGAACTAACTGGTGTCTCAGCTTCTAAGCATACATCAATGAGACTGACTGTTACATCCCCATCAGACAGAGGACGAACCTGATGTAAAAAGAATTTGGTTACTAATCTTCGTTTCAACCAGAAAATCATGAGAATCTTGACCTATTTGCCACCTAACCTAAGAAACTACATTGTATAAAATTCAATAACAATCTCTAAAATGGACTATATGAAATATACATGTAAAAACATTTCTTCATTTTATAATTTAAAAAGCCAATCACATTTTCAGAAATACTTACATTAACTTTCATTTCATTCTCTAAGTAGACCAAGGAGACAATTTCATTCTCAGGAGCTTGGAGCTCAAAGAATCCAGAACCTCCAGACAGAGACAATTCCAGCTGATGGATTAAAGAACAAGTGAAATACCAAACAAGCAAGTGCAAATTCCAAATTAACTCCTTTTCTTCCTTTTTTTCACCAACTGCTCTACATTTTAACAATCTGTAGCCATGCTTCCAACAAAATAAATATCAATAATGTAATTCAAAGTAACACAACAGTATAACCATACCATATTGTCCTTATGCTGGTACAATACAGCATGCGATGGATTCAACACAGCATCTTGAACCAGCTTCACAGGTAGAGAAGCAGAAAGGGATGGAACAGGATGTTGTCTAGATGTCTGTGACACAAACTTATTATAACCATTTAACTTCACACTAACAACCACCTCTCCAACCTGCCCAGTTGGTTCCAGGGTTTGGTAAGCTATTGGGAAAAAGAAAAGAAAAACAAAATAAATAAATAAATAATTACAAATCACTTATACAAGCTATTCTTTTAAGGTTTTTACTATTCATGGTTACTATCAAAGTTTAAACAATTCAATAATGTAAAGCACTTAACATCTGAAAAACCAAACCCCCAAAATCCATTATATCGGATTTCTGCTTTGTGCCCATCTTTTTATGGCTTGTCACCAAAATAAAGAAAAAACAAAAAAAAACACCAGTCATACTCACAAAACATGGGGAGGTTGTATCCATGTAAATTTGTAACCTGTGTAAGACTTGATGGTTCTGCAGGAGTAGAAGCTAAGCTATCATCAGACAATTCCCATTTCAAGGCGAGAGATGAAACATTGTCGAACTTGCGATTTTCAGAATCAGTAACTATTACTTCCAGCTGCAGAGGTTTGTAGCAATGTGCAAGTGCCTGTAAATATACATAAAACCTCATTAATAAACATTTACCACATTATACTGAAAATAATGATAAAGGCAACTGTTTTGATGTTGGCACA